CAATTCAATCACTCTGCATAATTTCTGTACACTCTTTTCAGCCCTAAGCCCAAATGTCTCCAGCTGGAAGCAGATTGAGAGAACAATCAAGGAATACACTTCCAAAATTGCAATAGAAATGTTGAAATAAAAGTCAGAATCATTCCAGAATCCCTTTATTTTCCAAATTCAAGCCCCAATCCTGTATACAAAAAATCAAGAAATATCTATACAGTACTGGTAAAAACATATATGGCCTTTGGGATGAGACCTGCCTTTTTGAAATCAAAGTTTGTAAACCAATAAGTCATGGTTTGTTATCCAGGGCAGATAATATTAGGCCAAAATGCAAAAGTTTGTTATCCCAATAGTTTTTTTTTTCACCAGGCCAATAGTTAACCAAGACCCCACTTCCCAAAAAATAATAAAAAACCAACAAACAATAAGGGAGTCCACCCTATTTACACCTGCTGATGAGCATCTCCAGCCCATCAGGTAAGGCATCCTCAAGGGATGCATCCCGCACGGGAGTACCCTGTATACCTTCTACACCGCTTCAACGCACAACCACGTCTGCAGAATTTAAAATAAATATGAATAAATGAGTAACTTAATCTTAATTTCCACGCACACAAGTTGCTTCGGAACAGGTTATCAAGTCCCATCATATCCTAGAATAGTGGTTTTATTATCGTTTTCATCATCTATATTCGCTACACTTCATCTTTTTTTTTCTAATTTTTCGTGAACTCGTTTTTTTTTTTTGCGATGGTGCAACTTTGTCGCGTAACAGCTTCAGCGAAAACAAGTTTTTTTTTTAAGCCGAGAGAAGCCATTTTCGCGAAGATCGTCGAAGGTGAAAGATGTGTTGGGCGTATTTTAGCGAATCATTTTTAAATTGATACTTTTTCCGAGGAATAATTCGTGCTGAATCGTGAAATCGGTGAAGATTTTTAGAACGTGTCCCTTTTATACTCGCACTCGTTAATTTCTATATGATATGTGATCATGATGGCTGCTGAGAATTTCACTTGGAAATATTTTCGATGCTTATATATGTATATGTAATAATGAAATTTTTAATATATCCCCTGAGTGATGATCCAATACTGGGCAGTTTTTTGAAGGTTTCAGCATTCTGAAATTCTGCAAAGTTTTCGAAGTATGTTTTTTTTAGTCTTAATTATCCTCTTGTGATATTTCTTTCGATTGTTGATTTAATGATGAAGCTAATTTTGTTTAGAAGTAATTGGTTCTAGGCCCCACCAAGAATTCGATACTTTTATGATAATGACATGTACTAAATTGTTGCACCATTTTATTCCATGTTATTTCGATACTCGATTTCTGGCTAAACATATTTCTGAAATAAAATTCCATGCAATATTTTCAGATAAGTTAGTAATGATTTCAACAGACCTCAGCAGTGTAAAATTATTTAAAAGGAATTCCACAAAAATGATGTGCTCTGAATATTGCAGGGACTCTATTGAATAATGATTTATTTATTTTATTATATGTATTGAATGATTTCAAATGATTTCATTGCTTTCATTGGAAATTTCAATTGAAACATGTTTATAACAGAAACCTAAAAAATATATTTTAAAAGAACATACATTTTATGAATACTGTACTATAAAATGTACTTGTAACCATTATTGTACTTTAATTGATTCTCCAGAATTTCTCTTCAGTGAAAATTTGGGTTAATTTTTCTGGAATATATTCTATATACTGTACTGTTCAGTTTTCAAAACACCTTTTATTTGAAATCTTCGGAAAATTTGGCTGCTCAAAGTGGAAAATATCTACTTTTTCAAATGTGCTGCAAGATAAAAAGTTAATAAATAGTTTTGAAACTGTGGCATATAACCAGTTCAATTTATGCAAAGTTTTATTAAAAAATCACTGGGGCAATTGTTTCTCATTCTGCCAAAAATGTTTCTCCATCTTGGTTTTTGTGTTAACTCTGCTGGGAACCATCAGCAACAACAGCTGTTGATTACATAATCATTTCCAATAATAAATCATGCAGTCATCATGGTTCACACAGTTCCTATATGGTCATTTTCTCCCCCCAAGTTATAATGGAAGGGAAAAATAGATTTACGTTCAAAAAAATCCAACTTCCGCTTCCGCAGCATATAATCTTATGTATGAATTCCCCTCAGTGAAACTTTCACTTCTTGAGCTATGCTGCTGTTGGGGTTCAGCCAAGTGATGGAGACTTTCCACTGTAGGATTTTCTCCTCATGGTAAATTTGATAAAAAAAAAGTGCTGATGATGGTGATGATTAGGCTTTAAAAAGCAAAAAAAGGTCCAGGAAGTGCTGATAATTACTGTTTAATGAATAATTTTCAGCAAAAACATTCAACTACAGAGTTCACAACACTGCTTCTTCCAGGAAGTCATTAAAATGAGATTTTTTAAATTTAAAATTGCTCATAAAATACACATAACCCTCTGAATATTTTAGAATTAAAAATATCCAACACAGAACTGCCAAATTCAAGCATTTTTTCTGATGAATTTCATTATTGAAAATTTTAAGCTCTTGGTTAATTTAAAATGCAAAATTTTAATTTAAAAATTGAAGTATTTTAAGCATTTCTGACTCATGAATTGCATCATAACATATAGAATTTCTAAGTGATTTTATTCAATTCTTTTACTTCAGAATTTGTGTTGCATTTGCAGTTCTCTTTTGCCAAGAAGCATATCTATAAGGGACCTAATTTAATTGTGTCTCTTGATTGTTTTTCTCTTTCATTGCAAGGATGTAGGTGTGCATTTTATAAAACATAACAAGTTGAAAACATATATTATTCTATTCACATAACATAACAGAAGAGTGACAATTTTTTTACTTTTTTACTCTTGCGAAATGTATATGCCCCTCCCATTTTTATTTTGATGTCATCACTGTACTGTACCTAAATAAATAATGGTACTGAATGATTTATGAATCAGATAAAAATAAACTTTTAGTCACAATCAATGCTTTTCATATTAACTTTTTTAATTAAGCAAGTGCTTGAAATTGAAATTCAACAGCAAAAAATGTAGGCAGAAAATTTTGGAAACAGGGACAATTTGAGACAGAAAGTTGTGTCACCTCCAAAAAATTTATGAGCCAGAACAAATAAAGTCAATATTCAGGAAGTCTTAAAACATAAGTCACTAAAATTTGATTCAAAATACAGAATTGTAAATTTTTTTTCTGGGTGTGAGAAGTTACTGTAGCTTGAAACTCAGTTACTACAAAAATCACCTCAAGAATAAGTTCAAAAAAAGTCATTTGATGTATCTTCAACTTATTTATCCCTGTTTTCTTTTCTGCTTTGCAGCTCCAAAACCAATGAAGCATCTTTGGAATGGACCAGAACAAGGAGAGAGAAAGAGGGACAGGAAACTTTGTCACGCTGCTACTGATGGAGGTGCTGGGGTGTTGGAAGCCAGGCGGAACTCATTCCCTCACCCTGCTAATGGTTTTCCATTTGTGGGAGCAGAGTGAATGACCTGGTTGATTTTCCCTATTGCCTAACTCCTGATGGCTGCTGGGCTTCACTCTTATTGCTCTCCTAGCTTGATTCCATTTCACTCAATTCATCACTGTATGCACTAACTGCAGCTGACTGTGTTGTGGGATTGAGGCCAACTGCGCAATACAGAAAGCAAGTTGGTAACTATGACCTGGATGAGCTGCTAGAAGAATGTGAGGAGTTATTCTTCTGTTCCTGCCTTAAACATTTGAGGAGTCATAGTTGACAGCTGCAAAATCATATTATATAAATTACTAACTTATGAATGGTGTTGAATCTTGGTTTCCCTAAAGAATGTTATGTGGTGAATTACTTTATTTTTTATGCGAAGTCTTACTGTTGCAACCTGTTCAACCTTACATTCATCATCTCCTTTTGGAAGTCTCAGTTCCCCATGCTGATCTATTTCAAATTTTTGATGTACTGTAGTTCCTTTGATTTACATGCTGTTCATGTGGCATCCATTCATTGATACATAAAGAAATTCTGACAAGCATTTTCATGTGTTCTGTTAGCAACATTGTGTTTGATTTAACGCATAAATAGTGTGATTTAAAAAAAAAAATTCTGCTTGAGCTTCTGTGTGTTGGACCATACATTTTTGAGAATGAGTTTTCATGTTAAAAAAAACACTGTTGGTTTCATCAGGTAATACGGACAGGTTATGAAAAAGGACTAAAATAATTCACAAAGAGATTAAAGCATATTCCATGCATGAAAAATATTTGGACCAAATAATGATCATTGACATTTATAGAAATTGTGAAGGGGATTAGCAGATGATGAAATTAAAATTATTCAGTTCGCTTTTATTCAGACATCAGTTGAACAAAATTTGAGCACAACTTCATTGAGTCAAATCCAGAGCTACTTGATTCAGGTTTTACATATACATATTTTTTATATCTGAAACCCCATGTGTCACTTATTTGGAGGAAGAAGATGTTTACGAAAAAGTACTGTCCAGTATTTCTTTCAAACATGTTTTTGTTTCTTCTTCCAGGTGAGGGAAATTTTTTGTCCATAACCAGATCCTGCGGTTGATGTTGATGGCACTCAAGTATGGTAAACTGAAGCTCGTTTGCGGTCAATGTGATGGGAAACTAAGTACGGCTTTGCTGACTTCGCAATATCCCCACCCGCTGATGATTGGCGAATCCACAAGCCTGGTAAGGGTGATTGAGATTTGATGTGGATAAGGCTCATTTCAGGGGGAAGATGATGTACCATTTTGGTACTGTAATAAGTAATGAAGAAAATGTTAAACTTCGGATTCAAAAAATCAAAAATTCCGTTATATCTTTATTCTTTTTGAATTTAGGTGGCCTTCAAATTTTTACAAATGATTAAAAAACACATACACACTTGAAACTTCGGACTAAAAATATAATAAAATACACCTTATATTACTACAACTCATTTGAAATGATTCACTGAGCTTTTCATGATGAAAATCCCAATTTTGATTTTCTCACGAACGAATTTTTTTTTTTCAGAGTTCCGACGCAGAGCTTCCATCCACTGAATCGTGACGAGGTGTGCCTGATGAGGCATTTCGACGAAAACGTTTCCGGTCAACAGACCATGATCATTATACGCCTTTGATGTGCTGTGTCCCAAGATGGGTCCAGTGAGCCAAAAAAGTGCCGGATGCTGAGACGTTATATATCCATGCCGAAGGATTTTTCGCGACTCCAGTCCACTCTACTTCAAGTTAGTAATCTTGACTTCCCCAATCAAGTGTAGCCCAGAATTCGGGCTACACTTGATTGGGGAAGTCAAGATTACTAGCTTGAAGTATAGTGGACTCCTATTAAATCCCGGCAAGAAGTTCAACATCCGGCGCTTCTTTTTTGGCTCACTGGAAAAAATTATATACAAAATGTATATTATTTTGTGTATATCATTTCGAAATGTATGAAATACAACTTACACTAACTACTATGTATCATCTTATTATCCATGGCTCCTTCCTCCTGTATCCATATTTTGCATGTTCTATAACAATAATTATATTTGGATAACAATAGTACTATTGTTGAAATTATATCGGATAATGATACTATTGTTACATGACGGAGTGACAATAGTACTATTGTGATTCTAGCATTATTGAAACACAATGCTAATGCAAAATTTTTTCGTTTCGCAAGATCAAAATTTTTACAGAGATAACATTCTTCTAATTTTTTCCAGTGAGCCAAACAAATAGAGCCGAATGTCGGACCGTGCCAAATCATGCCAACCCCAAGTCCACCGCCCACCCTCCTTCATCAAATTACAGGGCAAAACTGAAGATTCCATAATGTATCAATTTTTCTGCTCCATGCCATTTACGTCAGGAAAATTTGCTCAGTGTGATGAAATTTTCATCACAGTTACAATTACACCACGAAAAATCCAATAAGTATCTTCAGTATTGCCCTCCAACTCGAAAAATTCAAGCAGACGGTAGACTCGATGGTATGGCACAACTTGGCACCAAAAAGCAGCCATACAAATGGCGTCCAACATCCGGCACTCTACTTGTTTGGCTCACAGTTTTGGCTAAAATATTCTGAAAATTTAAATCTCCACTTTTGAAAAGGATACAGGTTCGTCAGGAGAGCCGGAAGATCCATGGATAACAAGTTCTCAGGAGTCCTTACGCTTATATCCCTGGAAATAAAGCAAATAATAGAGCACCATTAAAATTAAAAGTTTAGTACTGTACTCGAAACCAGTCGAACGAAGAAAATTATAGGAACGAAGTACGGTGTTTTACATCATGGCCAGAAAAATACGGGACAATGAGCCACGGAGAAAGTAGATTTAAATAATTATTCAGCAGAAAACTGACGACGAAGCGGGAAAGACGAACCCGCTGACGCTGCTTATTACAGGAGCCGACAATTACTGAGTTCTCACTGAATCAATACAGAAACATTATCCAGTACTGAACTAGAAAAAAAAAACTCCATTTGACCAGGGGGAACGACCTTATCTGAATGGCAATGTTTGCAGAGGTGCTCACAAAATTCGGAAAAACTCTTGCGTGTACTGAACTGTCCTTCACGGAGTTAATAAATACAGTATTGTACAGTACAGTAATGTACATTGCTATACAACTCATTTCTTACATATCTATGTTTTTGTCGAAGCCTGATTTCTTGAGGATGAGGCTCAAGAAAGTCAAGGATGAGCATTTAGAGCAATACGTTTCCACATATTCACAAAAGAATTTAACACAAGCAACTTTTGTCATTTCGGATCACAGTATTCGAATCGGACGTTCCGCTCAACGAACGCAGTGTCCAACTGATGCAAGTTTGTAAGACAAGGTACCGGTACTCGTAATTGAGGTGTTCTCTTCGTAAATTCATATTCAGCACGGTAACATTTTAATGTTGATCACCTAAAGCTCGTCTCAGTTGATGGTCTCGATCCTTTGTTTTACACGAGCCTGAACAAATACTGTGATATTTTGAATAGCAATATATCAACGTACAGTACTTGCTCGATTAATTTTGCCAATTGGAACGGGTCAATTCTATCGATAAACCTAGTAAAATAACGATAGAAATCGTGTTACGAAGGTATTACACGGTATACCGGCGAAACTAGCTAAATCAAACTTCAAGGGACATGCAAAAGATTCTGGACATGGAGGTTTGGAGTTAAGGAAAGAGGCATTCCTCCAGGGATGAAGAACAAAGAATTACAAGATATTGTAATTACAGATATACTGAACCTACAAGTGCTTCTTGATTGAGTTAGCAGGATGCTGAGCTTGGAGGAAAGAATTTACCAAATTGGTCTTACTTCATGTAAAAAAAAATCGAGATACATTTATACTTCGTTCATCTTTCCCGTGTCAATAAAAAAAATAGCCAGAAGGTCACCTGTTAATTCAAGTTATGGATGTTCGAAGGCGGAAAGAAGTAGAGTTAGGAGGCTTCCAAAACGTTGTTTCGGGTTTCTGACGGTGAAAATTTTGTCATGGTGAAGTTAGGCCAATCAAGGAGCGCCTTTAGAATAATTTAATATGACCCACAGAGCTCTTTCGCGAATTAATTCCTTGCTTAACATGGAAATGAAGTTTATTACGCTTAATCCAGATTCAAAACGGCATCGACTTGTTCATCGCTAACTAAAACTAGTGCCGCTCTCATAGCGCATAGATCCCATGTAATGCGAATTCAACTACTTCGAACATCTGAAGACAATCGTCTCAGAAGCCGGGACAATCAGAAAAGACGAGCCTTAGGCGATGTACTAACATAATAGATTACTACGAGAACTATGGACCAGCACCAGTAGAGAACCTCAGTAGAATGAGTACGTCAATACCTGATTTCCGAGATGAAACTCCATAAACCACGTTAAATCATCGGAGCCACTTTTACTTCAACTCTCGATAGAAGGCGAATTCAAAGTTTCAGAGCGAACTTCCTCTGGGGATACAGGCTCAGCTTACGGCGCTCCTTGCGTGTCTTCAAAGACTTCTCGGACTTCGTTAATTCGCGACGCTTCGCACGGGTAAGCTTGGGACGAAGGTCCAAAGGCTTGAACTTCTTCTTGGAGTAAAACTTCCGCAGGTTCTCTTTTTGCATCGTGTTCATCACGATGTAGATGCGGGCGATGGACTTACGCACCGTGCGACTGAAAAGCGAGACAAGAGATTTTGTAATAACCGGCAAGAATATGGGATGCTAAATACGATTACTCACATCTTGGCCAACTTCGACGCAGTGCCACCGGTCACTTTGGCTACTCGCAAAGACATCAACTCAGTCTTGAGGTCCTCCAACTGCTTTTGCAGCTCTTCCTTCTTTTTCGACCGGAGCTCGCGGCACTTGAGCTTCGCCTGAAGAAAGCAAGAGTTATGATACAGGTGCTATATGAAATAACATCGTAATCGTCTCTCACCATTGCAGAAGATTCGGTCCAACACTATGCACCGTTAGAAATCTATCTGCGGGAAGAGAAACGAAAACTATCAGCCAAACACGAACGCCCATGGGTACACAAACTTCAACTGGCTCGCTCAACGAGGAACACTTCGGGGAAACGAATGTCATGAAACAAAATACCTTTCTACTGCGTTCGCGGATACACTCGGCTCATTCCGTAGAAGGTACTACACACATGAATGCGTAAGAAAGAGATCACAGATCTAGAATACTGTACTGTACACGCAGATCAACTCGAAGCGCAAGTCCGAAGTTATGCTTTCCGCGAAGTTGAAATGACACAGCTTAACACTCCTACCGTGTCCATTGCAAATTCAGCTCAGTTCGATAAGTCAAAACCTCTATTAGCTACACAACTTCGTTTCGAGAATACTGTATACTACGTCACAACCGATGAAGCTCTCGGTCATCAGGAACAACCCACTAAAGCTTGCTCTTCCCTAACTACAGGAAAGCCCTTCCGAACTTGTTCCGATCAAAAAGCAATCGAAGCGCGTGTCGGGGCAATATGCGATTGAACACTTAAATCTTTTCGAACACTCAGAAGTTGCCTTAACACGGACAGAAACGTCCACCATCCCAGTAACCGAACGAGCACATACACGGGCGCCATGTTGTACAGTGTACACGTTACCTCAGCACACCAACATTGTGTGGTATAACTATACGTGAATGTGACAACCGGTACACTTCTAAAACCAAAAATAACGTTTCGACCTACTGGAGCTAAGTTGAGATTACAACGATCACTGTAGCTGAGCGCGGCCGAGAATTACCGCCGTTGAAGCGCGCGATGCACATCAGAACCTCTGCGAATTTGAAAAATAAGAAACCAGTGATTATTTTGACCACTCAGAAGCCAGGTAGACACACTGAAGGAACTCATTCCAAGACCCTTAATAACAAAGCCTTATTCATGGCGATTTTATTCAACGGACAGAAACGTAGCACATAAAAATGATATAAAGAGAAAAGCAGACGTTCAGCAAGAAATAAATTCTTGGAACGGAATTTCCAGGCATAAGCTTCTACAAGAAAAGAAGACACAACCATCCAAACACAAAAATAAACTGTCGAACTCTCATCCATTCAAAAAAAAATTATCAAAAATCAAAATTTGTAAAATTTGGGTCCGACCTAGATGCAAGTGTCTGGCGAGCTTGTGGAGAGGACGGAAGAGGAGGGAAAACGAAAGCCAACTTCGCATTTTTCCTCCGTCTTCGTGGCGGCAGCGGCGGCGGCCGACGCATGCGTGAATCCGCCTCCTCCGTTTTCTGCAGCCGCCAGTTTACTGGCAGCCTTGCCACCACTGCATTTCTCAACGTGAAACTTGGGCGTTTCGAGTCGGCGGACAGCACTTCTCGTCGACGCCCTCCGCCTTCCGAGTCGTAGAACTCATTGTCTACAGTGATTCGTTAGTCCGAAGCACGAATTGAAATGCGTTCGTCGGCGGACGCCTCAGCGTCGTCCTTGATATCATCCTCTGAACCACTCATTTCTTGATTAGAGAGACTACTATTTTTGCTCAAGAAAAATCACAGCAAGTTAAACTGTGTGTCGTCATGAGAAAAAAAATCCTTGTCAACAAGGAAATGATCGCCGCATGAAAAGAAAAACGGAACGCGGGGTAACCAATTTTTTATTCCTTTTTCCAACCCTCAAATATTCCCAGAGATCCATGAATATTTACTGGTAATCAATTATTGAACCTGACTATAATGGCGCAAAGTGTTATAAGGCACAATATTAAATCCTAGAAATGCAACATCCACTTCACGGGAATTGATCAAGAAAAAAAGTACAGTATTGCAGCTCAAAAATCACCATACGTTCCGGATCTTACTCCAAAAGAACTGGGCTCCGCTGGCCTGAATCCGCGGGAGAATGATCCTCCGAAATCCCAGAAGATTCCACACACTTCGGCCGCTCATATAGTTGCATGTCATCTGAAGAAGAGACGAGAAAAGCCATCAAGAATAACGAATCACACGATTCACTAATTTTTGTACACAATGACACCCAGACGAAAGTAGCTTCAGATTTAAGAGTTAACATGCGTTGCCTTTTTAATCCCTCCCTCCCACCCAAAAAAAACAAAACAAAACAAAAAACTGCGCAATAAAGTGGGGCCCCAACCTTTGACTGAAGGACACTTCAGAACATAAAAAAATTTGCTTAAAAATCTGGAAATTGTCTCAAAAAACGAATACTCCCCATTTATAAAAAAAAAAAATCAATTTTGCCCCATTTTGTTTTAAAACTTGAAGTGAACATTAGCTTGATACATAATTTATGCATGCCAGGCTTATTTTTACTTTTTCCAGAAGAATAAGAATTGTATTCCCCATAATACCGGGATTGCATTTTTTTTAACCAGCAACCCAGTCAAAACTGCAACAAACTTCACAAAAAACGGCGGATTATCGCGGTTTGACGATATTGGAGAAAATAAAGGAATGGAAGAAAAGCTTTCACAGATGCAACAAGGGCGCATTCATCATCAACCAAGTCAAGGAAGAGCAGCAAGAGAGCAATACACAACTATATACACATGAGTCAGTATTCTTCGTATTCAGACTGCACTAAATTGTCAGGAGCTCCAGCTGAAGAAACACCCGAGGTAGACAAATCATACAGAAAGCCACTTTCTTCGGAAGCAATACCTTCTGAATCCGAATCGAATGTAGAATCAGAGGATGCAAACTTGGCATTCTGCTTCGTCCATAATGCGGGAAGCTTTCCAGAAGCGGCCATCACAAAACCCAAATACACAGCACTTGGCTTCAACGGACTGTGAAAATATTTCAAGATTTGCATCACAAAAAATTATTTGGAATACTGAACTTCAAATAAAACCATCAGGAGTAAACCATGCGTTCACTAGTTTTCTCCATCATGTGCACACTTCCTAAATCTTACATGAAAAAAATGGAGAGGAACAACATTCTTACAAAGCAATCTTTCATCTTGATTAAATTTTCCCTCACCAATGTTGAAATGGGGTAGACGAAGCATAAAGAATAAAATTTAAATGCAACACTCGCATTTTCACAAATTTGCAGACATACAAAGCACTGCCAAATATTTCTGAGAACAAGCTGAGCTGAGAACAAGTTTGGTATAAAATAAACTTCAACTCCAATTTTCATGGCAGATTATTTTTGCTTGAATTGAAGGTGTTCCTGAAATTTCAATCAGTCTGGGCTGAAATTAAAAAAACCTCTACAAGACTTGCTTTTTCTCTTGCTATTATTTTCAAGTGGTTTGGCAAAACATGATTTAGAGTTTAGACCGAAAAAAAACCCACCGCTTTCAGCAGTTCTAGATGCAGTAGATGAGTAGCACATTGAAAATATCTCAGATCATTCCTACACAAAATTGTCAGACCCACAAAATTCCAATATCAAACACTTACCGGGTTTGATACTCAGGATGAAACTGGACGCCAACATAGAAGGGATGTAAAGGAAGCTCCACACATTCCATTCTTTCTCCATCCACATCTTGGCCCACAAATTTCAATCCTGCAGCTTCAAAATTTGGAACAAATTTGGGATTCACTTCATAACGATGCCTATGGCGTTCTTGTACTTCAGAGGCCCCTTGGTATAATTTTTCTGCAAAGAAAGGAGGATGAAATCAGCGAAGATCCATTGTCTATTTCAAAAAATGTTTAATTATCATCGGAATTCAGAACATCAGGTAATTTGCTTCAATTGGCAAAATATGATTATCAATTATTTAGATTCCCAAACCTCTTAGGGCCCAAGGACTGGAGAATTTCCATAAAATAATTCTACAGACCAACAGACATTTTTCAAATACTTTCCATAAATTTCTACAACCAAAACTGTACTGAAAAAATTAATTCAAGAACCGAAGAAGCAGCAATGGGGTAATGTCTTTAAAAATTGGAAAGCTGGACATTTCTCAAAATGAAAAATTGAAATAATTGATTTCCGCAGGTGAACACTTTTCTACATTGTTATTAGGAGAAAAGCCAACTTTTATTTTTCATCAGATACTTTCAGTCATTGTCTATCACGAATGTCAGATGAAGGTAACAGACTTAATTACTATCTTTGATACATTTATTATGCCAAAAAATGTCCAAAACTTGCAAACCTCTGATTAAGAGCACTTTCATGCAATTCTACTTTCATACAGCGATTGAAACAGGCAAAAGCACAAAAATTACTCACTTATCAAAGACTTAGAATCATTCAGAATGGTTTTCCTCAATCCAAGTCGCATTGTACCACCCATGACCCCAGGATGATGTTCAGGCATTTCAAACACAACTGGGTATGGAGTCTTCTCATCAAATTCTGTAGAATTTGCACTTTCCCACTTCAAAACATTGCGAGCAAATTCAATCACCATGCACTGCATTCCCATGCATATCCCAAGAAATGGCACATGATGAGTGCGAGCAAAATTGATAGCAGCAATTTTTCCTTCAGTCCCCCGCGTTCCAAATCCTCCAGGAACTAGAATTCCGCTGCACAAGGAAATCAAAACAAATCAGCAACACTAGAATTTGGCAAATTTCAAGAAGCCTCAAACATTAGAAGAGTGCACATGGAAAAGGTCAAGATAAGAAAATAACTCAAATATCCATTGCAATTAACAATTATGTTGAGATATCAAAACTATAGGTACAGTGTTTTGAGCACTTTCATGCAGCCATTTTGACACTGAAGTATTGAAATTGGCGCTTTTTTGTAATCAAAAACTGCCTTTCCATAGACATTTTGTAAAAAATGTCAGTAATCACAGCCAAATTGTTGAACGACTTAATTTATAACAATTTATTTTTAAAACGAAGCTATTCAACAGCTCCCCATAGCTTCGTTGTAACGATTAATTTTTTTGGAGCTGAAAAATTATATCCACAGAAACTGGATAACCACAAAAAATCACTCACTGCGCAGAACACAGATTTTTCCAGGCATCGTGGAAGACGCATTTCCTCGAGTGTTTGGCCTCTTCTTCCAGATCATCAGCTTCAATGTACTTGAATATAATACAAGTAGGCAAAAGACGAAAACAAATGTCAATAATGGACAAATAGGACGAAGCGAATGATGAAATACACACCACAAGTTCCAACTTTCGAGAAGAGGCAACAGATGCATGCTGCAACGCTTTTCGCACCGACATGTAAGCATCTTCCAGCTGAGTATACTTCCCAACCAGTGCTATTTTGACAGTTTTCCTAAGATTTTCCATGCTGTAAAAGGAAAGTAAAATTTTCAATCATGAAAATTTTTCTAAGAAACTCTCACAATCGGTACATTGAATTACACTACTATTCCTTACAATGACCAATGATGAATTTCAGGAATGTGTACCCAAAAGCAAATGAAAACAAACTCCAGAATTCTCTGAGTCATCCATCCATAACAAACAAAAGCTACTACAATATTGTACATAGGCATTAAAAGAAAATACAGGGAACCCTCTTGATTAACAAATTGGTTCCAGACAAAAGTTTGTTAAACAAATTTGATTTTCCCATAGACTTCAATGAGGAAGAATTTAATCCATTCAGCAAACCCTAAAGACAATTGAACGTTGACTATGAAAACATCAAGACCATGAACTATAATCAGAACAAGTTAATGTTGTAAGTAATGATCAAATAGACCTTTGTAACAATTGAAGAACTAGAAAAATAGAAAGTAATTCTAGTACAGAAGAGCATATATGAAAAATGTTGTTGAAACAAATATCAACTCACAAGATTGAACATATTAAGGGTGCTAGAAAGTAAGAATTTAAATATCTGTGCATGAATCATTTGCATTTAGATTGTACCATAAATTTAAGCCTTAAAATCAAATTCTGATTTTTCAAATTTGGGATTTTTCCCATAGAAAAGTTCATTAACAAAATTTTTGTTTGTTCACAGGGATTTTTCCTCGAAACCAAAAAGTTTGTTAACTGAGGGTCCACTGTACATGAGTACTTAATTGATTTAATTGTACTAATTTTTAAATTTATTATTTGGATGACAACAATCACAGAACAAGGCAATTATATCGGCCAAAGTACAGTACAGTAATACATTACCATGCATCAGGTCAAAAAGAGGAACTTACCGCTCACTCAATCTTGTCCACGACTTCAATTGCTTCCTAGGAATTTTAGGGTCCACTAAATTCAAAGCAAAATGCTCCATTAAATAACCCCCAACCCCTTGAGCTTCTAGCATAGCCGGTACACGGTATATAGAGCTGCAATCCGGAAGGGAGATCACTTGTCTAGGTTTAACATGACAAAAGTTGGAGATTTTGTCCTTCACTGATTCGTCCACAGGTAACTCTGATCGACATATGATTAAATCCGGGCTCAAGCCGAGACGACGGCTTTCACGAACGCTCGCTTGCGTCGGTTTTGTTTTCGGTTCGCCAGTTGATTTTGGCTGCAAAAAAATAATCGAAGAACAATTCAAGTTTGAACATCCAACATTCCCAAAAAATCAAACAAACAATTCTAAATGCACAAAAGGCAACAGGAAGATAGCAAAGCATCCACCTCAAGAATTGAGCAACCACAAGAATTACTAAAAAAAATACAACATTTCATAGAATATAATAGAATACATTTGGTTTATAATTTATTTCTTGATTTCTCAAGCATCATTCTAGAATTGAACCCATTCAAACTGTCAAATACAATAGGAATGTTTTGTAAACATTAACAATGATCATGTTTGCCTAGTGACTACTGTACTCGTAATACAGGTGGAGTCTCTACACTACAAAATTCTCTCTAAAGTAATTTTTTCTGGTCCCTTAAATTTTGTTGCTGAGAATCCCATGGAAAGAGAATCCAATGAGACAAGAAAAAATCATTATACAGAGAAAATTCTTGCAGACAAGATAGTTGTAGAGAGAGTCCACCTGTACATACCAGCAGTGTGGCAGTTCGGATATTTGAAACAGAATACAATTCGAACGAATACAATCAATCAATGAAAGATTTGCTCCAGGTGTGCTTTCGAGAACCATACTTACTCAATTGCTATGCAAAACTTTTTTCTAGAAATTGAGATGAAAAAGGGGGTAAGCGTAATACTGCATTTAGGTTTAAATTCAGCAAAAAGTGTTGTAAGGTTTGGTGCGCATTCTGATGGGGAAATTCTGGAAAAATTTCAACAGAAAACATCCTTTAGTCAAGCAAACGGAAATTAGTTGATATATTTTGATGAAAAAAGGAAAATTAGTTACATCCAGGTTTAATTCATGTCTAAATTAAAATTTCAATGATCTGATTTCCTGAATATTTTCAGTTTTAGAGTCACTGAAAATGGTGCACACATCTCACTTGGGGACATGATTTTTTCAAAAGTTTAGACTAAACAACTCAAATGCATGTCTTACTTGAGGACACAAGGTATTCAAGTACATATGCTAATTTATAGTTTCATTTTTCTGCTTTAGGAACTCTTGAGAAGTGTGCATGAAATTTCTTTACCTGTGGAATCAAGCTGACATGAGCACAGCAGAAGGAGTTTTTAGGCAGCCTAAACTCGAATTGACGGAATGCCTCGATGAAAGGCATTCCTTCAATATCCCCAATCGTTCCTCCAAGCTCAATGATGCAAATTTCGGGTTCTTTCCCGTCCGCAGTCACAGAGGTTTTCGATACACGCTGCACCCATTCCTGGATCGAATCCGTTATGTGCGGAACCACTAAAAATAAATATAATTTCATCAACACGAAAAAAATACAAATACGCAAAAATCACCTTGCACCGTCTTTCCCAGGTAGTCTCCTTTACGTTCTCGCGTTATGACTTCCTGATAAATTTTCCCAGTGGTGATATTATTCTCACGATGAAGCGTCACGTCCAGGAAACGCTCATAATTTCCTAAATCAAGATCAACTTCTCCTCCATCCGCAAGCACGAATACTTCGCCTAAAGGAAAAAAACAAACAAAGCAACTTAATTGTAGCATGAGTGGAATACGATCATCGCATAAATTTCCACACTAACCGTGTTCATACGGAGAAAATGTTCCCGCGTCTATGTTTATGTAAGGATCAACTTTGATGGCTGTAACATGCAATCCGTACGCCTTGAGGATGGCTCCAAGAGATGAGGCTATCACGCCTTTACCGATTCCACTAATCACACCACCAGTGACGAGGATGTACTTCATGACTCCGACACTTTCGTTACGGCGAGGATCGTCCACCAGATTGTCTATACGACTCAAATACAATAATCGCGGAACACTTCGGAGATTCTTCCACTTTTCTTGAGAGGAAAAAAAGAGGCAAGAGTGGAATTTAAGCCAAATAAAAAAAATTCCGAGATAATTAACTTCGCCTTCAGATTTCTAGCATAATAAGAACTCATCACACACGCGCAGGGCAATTTTTAGATTCGTTTATTTTCCACTGCATATAAATGCATTAAAATTACACGAGAATAATCGTCTTCAGTCGCCACAGCTTCCAACTCGTGGCTCACTTCCACACCCCTCCGCTAGGTGGCCGTACATCTCCTCTCGCAACGCTATAAATGAGTGACTTTCTGAATAGCTAGCGTTGTTAAGAATTTCACGTTAAAATTGGTGTAGGAAGACAAAACACACAGGTGGACTCTCTCTACTGCTGTTGATGACTCAGGTTATTCAACAAAATTAGATGTTAAAATCGAAAGAGGACCTTGTCCCTGGATCAGAATGTCTGCACATTGGATCATGCTTCTTCGTAGATTGTATGGGAATTGTACACGGTATTCTACGGGTTCTCCTGTTGATCAAAAATTTGGAGAAAAGCCCACTAAAATTGAATAAAATACAGTAATTGTTCAAAGTTCAAGAAACAGAAGATGACAGTGCAGATAAAAATCTCAATAAAGCCCAAAAAGCAAAGAACAAGCACAAGTCTTCATATACAGTACAGTACTGTGTTCAGATGAGAGAAGGGACTCTAAACAAATAGGCAAAAATTAGCCTGAATCAGCCAAATTAGCACTATTTGCAATTCTTGTGAATATAAGAGGCTCAAATAGCTTGCTAAGAACAAGAACAAGTCTCCATGTACTGTTCTAAGGTGATGGAAACAACTTGGAAAAATCAAGCACCAAAAATAGGCTGGCATTAAGTTATAAATTATAGTGAATTTCCACCACAATTTATTTTCAATTTTCAAGAGAATAAAAAGCTCAATATGTAAAAAAGACATCTAAAAATTTTTCGAAAGTAAAATTTCTCCATTTGCCTTGGAAGGTTGATAAACTGTCTGTACCTTGATTGCTTGAGACATTTTCCAGATGTTGGGACAGATTTCTCAAGTTATCAAGAGTCCCTAGGTCAAATTGTCCATATATAGGGCCCCCACTGCATTTGAGCAATTTGTTTTCAAAATATGCTTCATGTTATTTTGCCCTACAAGTCTTACCACCATGTGTACCCTTTAATCATTGGTGTTGAAATCACTCAATGAAAGCCACTGGTGGCTCTTGAGAGACAGCGGCGCTGGCAGGGGTGGCGTGGAAGAAGAAGCCCTGACTTAAGTGGCTCCCAGTGGAAATTGAGCGCCATGTTGTATACGAAACCACAGCACACTCACGTTGTGTGGTGTAACTGTACGTGAATACACTCGCATGCAATAACCGTTCATAATATTTAAACCCCCACTCCGCGAAATAAACAAAATCACTGATTCTGCGCCCGCCAAAAATCATCACTATTGGAAAACACTTGATCATCTCTGGAAATTGAAGAAAGAATGAACCAATGAAATGATCATTTTGCTACAGTAGAATCTTGCTATAACAAATCAAAAGCTTTAGAAAAAATTTGTTTCTTTGGTACACGTCCAACAGCCATGATGCTATTTAAATTTTGTTTTAACAAGATTCTACTGTATGAGATACAAATCAGAAGCTAGGTAGACACGTTGAAGATACTCATTCATAAGTCCAGAATGATAAAACCTTATTCAAGATCATTTTATTCAACAGACAAAAACGCAGCACATGAATAATATAAAGAGAAAAGCAGGTGTGGAGCAAGACGGAAATCCGGAATTTCCCGGCATAAACTTCCACGAGAAGGAACTTGGAAAAATAGAAAAAAAAGTACAGTACACAACAATCCAGAGCATAAAAAGAAACGGAGAAAAGAACCTGTCAAATCTCATCCATTCAAAAAAAAAAGATTCTTTATCAAAAATCAAAACTTGTACAATTCGGGCCCGACCGAGATACAAGCAAGTGTCTCGTGAGCTTGTTGGGGGTGAGGAGGAGGAGGGAAAACGAAAGCCAACTTTGCCTTTTTTTACTCCGTCTTCGTGGCGGCAGCGGCGGTAGAAGCAGCAGATGCTGCGGCACCAGCCGCCGCGGTGGTCGTCGCAGCTGCATCCGCCTCCTCTTTTTTCCCCTTCTCTTCCCCTCCTGCTGCTGCTGCTGCCGCCGCCGCCAGTTTGCTGGCTTCCTTGCCGCCACTGTCACTGTCTTTCTTAACGTCCAACTTGGGGCGTTTCGAGCCAGTGGGCAACACTTCTCGTCGACGTCCACCGCCTCCTCCGCCGCCGCCACCACCGCCGCCGCCGTCTTCGTCTTCCGAGTCGTAAAACTCGTTGTCGGGAGCAATTCGTTTGTCCGAAGCACGAATGGAAATGCGTTCGTCGACGGATTCGTCGGCTGCCTTGTCGTCCGCGGCCGCCTCGTCGTCGTCCTTGATGGCGTCCTCTGGAATGTCCATCATTTGCACACCGGGCGCGTGAGGCAACATCCGCAGGTTCTCAATTAACCGCATCTTCACCTGGAATCCGAGGAAAAATTTAGAATAAATAATTATCCCCCATCTTTGGAATTTCCAGAAGTGTCCTGAGTTTTTTAAAGAAAAAAACAGAGAGAAATGATCTGTCTCTTCATCTTATTACAACGTTAACATCGCAATTTCTTTATACGTACTAACAAGACTCAATTTTGAGTAAATTTGATTGACCTCGTCTAAAGCCGACTCTTACTGACGGGAATTTATACGAAGAGGGAACTGAAAATGTTGTCAGTTATTATAATAATTTTTCTACAACACTGTACGTCGGACTATTGAAAGAGACGCGGTTAATCATTTGACTGCCTTCTTGAAAAAAATTTCAAAACCAGTAAAAAGAAAGAGGAACAGATCCAATAACTTTCCAACGGAAACCAGTTCTTCAAAATGGGAACACTCAAAATTCCGACCTTACGTGCATTACAAAGACTTCAATAGGTAGGTTGAATTAAATTAAGATAGTCTGAGTTTGAATTTGATCATTTCCGGTCGAGATATTCATTTTCCGGGGACTCCCCCAAATACAACACAAAGGAAACGGGGATATAAAAAAAGAGAGACCTCATCATGATAATCCGTGTTGCTCTGTTTTGTCATAGCGTCTTAAAATTGCCACGTGAAAATAAAAATATTTTTTTTTTAATGTTACGACTCTTCAATGGAAGAAAAATCTCCTCGGATTGGAACGCCACGAATTCCAAATTATAACTTTCTTTGTTGAAACAAAGGTGTCGCTTCAACCAGATTACAATTAGGCTTGTAAAAGGAGGGTCGAACCCGAGTCGAACTGCCAAAAACTGTGCGTTTTTTTTTTATTCTGAGATTTTTAGTTCCCCGGCGGTTTTCGCAGAAGCCAATAAAAAGGCAGAGGGGGTGAGAAACGAACAAAAAAATAAGAAACCTTATCAAGATAATCCGTGTTGTTCTGGTTGGTCATGTTGGACGGCGTGATGTGGAGCTTGAAGTCGGGCGAGTAGTACTCGAAGTAATCGTTGTAGGGCAGCTCGTTGGCCACGTCCACGCCCAACGCAATGGCCGTCTCGTAGGTCCAGCATCGGGCCACATTTCGGATAGTGTAGCCGCCGCCGCCGAGCATGAGGAGCGGCAAATTGAACCGCTTCATGAACTCCACGCACTTGGCATGGCCCTTGAGGGTCAAGTTGAAGCAGCCCAAACGATCGCCAGACAACGAATCAGCTCCGCATTGCAGCACTATGATCCCTGGCTGGTACGTTTCCATTACCTATCAAACATTTCAAAGAATAATCAAACGTTCAATGCAAGATCTTCTTTTTTTTTAATATTGCCTCATTTTCGTCAAATAAAATCCAGAATTTCCAGAGATCACTTAAAAATATTGCAAAAATCTTCAAGTAACATCTTCTTACTTACATTCATCTCTGTGTCTTTAAAAGAATATTGTCTCATTTTCGTCGAATAAAATCAAGAACTTCCAGAGATCAACTTCTAAAAATTCAAAAATCCTTCAAGCAACATTTTATAATTTACATTTATCTCTGCGTTCCTTGAAAAAGATTGTCTCATGATCGTCTAATAAAATCCAATACTTGTCAAGATCACTTGAAAAATATAAAAAAATTCCACGAGTTACACTCATCTCTGAAGTCGGCACAGGAAGAAGGAATTTTTACGCCGTACAAAGAGTAGCTCGTCAGAAGTGAATAATTATAAACACAATTTCAGGAAAAATCAGTGGTTGAACGTCGACCTAGACATGTTTGATTTTTCAAACAAATTGAACTCACCTTAGTCATAACTGGCTCGAAGATCGATTCGTAGCTCGTGTCATCAATGCCGTCCCGCAACGGGAAGTTGACTGCGTAATACTTCCCTTTGCCTGCCCCCAAATCTCTGAGATCTCCAGTACCCGGAAAGTACTCACCGTACTTATGAAACGATACTGCAAAGCAGAACAAGAAAGAGAGAAATCAATAAAGGTAACAGAAAACGAAGCATGTCGTCCACTGCATTTTAAAAGATGCCCTTTTCAAGTCATATTCTTTGAAAAATGGCAGGAAGAAAACGAAGAAACATTCGATTTTCCTGATAATTTGTTCAAGAAGGATAAAAATGCTTAATGGAATACGTAACTTGAAGTCTCATACATGAATAATTTTCCTTTTTCAGAAAGTAAACCGGAATTACTCTAAAATAAAACCATATATTTTTGGTGGTCTTGAAGTTGAATTCTTCTGTAATTTCTTCACATAATTCGGTTATCGTGTCAAACTAGCAAGTCGTGACTCAAAATTATCTCCAAAATGGATGAAAGAGAGACGAGTCCGCAAACAAAAAAGGAAGAGTGTCACCTATTGCGGTCAGAAAAAATTTCACATAAATTCCTTCTACACGAAAAACGGTAGATCAAATAGTGGAAATTTTGGAATTTCTTGAAAAATAGTCGATGCTCGGAGGCAATGATTTATACTTGCTCCCAAACCCTCATTTAAAATTCCGACGGAATACGGAACCTGACCTCGAATATCCTTCCCAAACCTCAATCATTAATTTTGTTTCTTCAAGATTTGCCCGCTATTCCTCTAAAATAAATTCAATATTTCTCTCACGGACTTCCGCTGAATTTCTCCCATGAAATTTCAGCAAAAAATACGGGTACCTCGTCAAAACCAACCCGTCATCACACGAAATATTTTCGAAAATAATTGTTAAAATTGCTCGCGGTCAATACATAGATTTCTTTTCCCAGAAATTCCTTTTTCAAAATACTTCAATACAGGCATTTCGTCCGAAACTGACCAGTCATGACTCGGTCAGTCGTGTAGAAAGCTTCCTCCACGCCATCTCCGTGATGAATGTCAATATCAATGTACAACACGCGCTGGTGGTACTTGAGCAGCTCCAAAATAGCCAAAACGATGTCGTTGGCATAACAGAAACCCGAAGCTTCCGACTTTTTGGCGTGATGCAACCCGCCGGCCCAGTTGACAGCAATATCCGTCGCTTGCTTGTTGAGCTTCACAGCTCCTGCAATTGAGCCACCAGCTGACAATTGACAAAACTCGTACATCCCGTCAAACACCGGGCAATCTTCGCCGACGTTGAACCTAAGATTTGAGCAAGAATTTTCAATTAAGACTCCATTATTCCACGAACAACAAAAAATTGGAAACTAGAACATCCAGATTATGTCCCCTGCATGTGTCTTAATAAACAGCGGTTGCACAAATTTTCCAGGACAGAATAGGGTTCGAAAACAGAAGGAATAAGACAACGAGAGCAGTAATCAAATGCTAACCTTAATAATACTGTATAACAGTCGATCCTCTTCTAGTCGATGGGTCAGAAAAAATTCCACTTACAGCAAAAATTACTTTTGTTGGGGGAATTAGACGAAATTTTATCGTAATTAATGATGTTCTGGACCTTAAATTGCTTCTTCAATGAGTTGACAGGATGCTGAACTTGGAGACAAGGGTTCATTTGGCTAATCCGTGTTTCACTTCCATTCAAAACACATGTTAGATTTGTGATGCTTTTCTCTTTCCCAAGTCAATAAAATCATAAGTAAAAATTCTCTAGAAAATTTGAATTATGGAGGTTTGAGTGGGGGAAAGGCAATGCATTCTTTCGAAGGGAATTCAGGCGGGGAATAAAAAAAATCCAACATAGGGGAATTCGACATTTCCAGGTTCAAATGCATCAATTTCAAAATCAATACCTATAACTGCGACACATATGAAGTTTCACATGAAAAAAAAAAACAGAATAACGAGCAATTTAAGGGAAATTTCTCCGACGGACAGGAACAAAAGAAAAGTCTCCAAAACCTAATATTAACAAAGCATGAACACAAATGAAATAAGCAAGAAAACAAACCCGAGAATAAGTATCACAAAAAATACACGTTGACAAGACTGAAGTCACTGTAAATTTCTCCTGATAACCGATGCCCTTTCCCCTAATAATCGATTATTTCAACCACATATTTTAACAAAAAAATCTTCGTCCGACTCACTTCCCCATCGCCTTGTTGAATTCGACGATGTTGTCGGGTCGAATGCTGCGTAGGAAACCAATGTATTCCCCGCTGTGGAACCGGGTCAAGTCTTCGTAAGACGCCTTGTGTGGCCGATAAATTTCCATTTTGCGATAAAGCCCGTAATTGAGAATCAAATTGTGGGTCATGCGGATCCTGTGAGGCTTCATCGGGTGACCCTGGCCATAATAAAAGTTGCCAATGTCTCCGTCGTAGTAGTAACACACTTTTTTCTTGGGCGCCATTTCACTCGAGTTGTTCGCTTTTTCCTTATTTAAACTCAACCACGACGCCCGAAAAAAAAAGTATCTGACATTTCACGACAAAAAAAGACAAACATTTTAGAAATCGAATGAGCAATTACACGAGTTTTCAGAAAATCAAAACAACGATTTGCTTCGTTTTTTTTTAAAATAAATCGCAATGCATCTCAGATCAAACATCAAATAATATTCGTTCTTCGTCGGCAACTTATTACTTTCCCTTCCCCTTTTTAAAACACGAAAAGTATACTCTATCCCGATACAAATTTTTTTGCAACAAACTGGATGGTATCAGATGCATAAAGTAAAACAGCAAAAACAACGTATACCCTGCAATTGGAAAGTTTCACAATTCAACCGAAACGCAATAAACGTGACCAAAGACATTCCCCGTTTTTTTTCTTGTTTAAATCTAGCAAACACAAATATCGCATAGCTATTAAACCTTGCTGAAAGCTTCAGACTCAAGTTGCAGCCCTTGAGCAACAGTTACCGGACTCGCAGGAAAAATTTTGATGGGCAGGTCCCAAACCATGGTCTCAATTTCCAGGGATTGAGGACCCGTCCATAACCCGGGTTCTGTCATGTCATCCACTTCACGGAATTCTGGGATAGTGGAGGTAGTCGTGACGAATTCGAAATGAAGCCGCCATTTCAAACCGACTGCAAACAAATTCAGACAATTTAATCAAATCACCAAAAAAAATCTTTCGAGTAAATGCGCGAAAAAAAAAGAAAATAATATTTTTCAACTCAACTTATATACTACAGTAATTTCAAGTTATGAGATGCTTGTTCAGAGGTTTCGATTTCACGGGACTACGAACGTTCACAAGACTAAAGTAATGTATGATGATCACGTTCTAAAATTATTTCGGCAGTACTCTTTATTTTGAATACTGCACAGTACTGCAAAATATTAAGATTATTTTTTTTGTAAATCAAAATAAGAATCAGAACCTGAAATTTCAGAAATTTTTAAGTGATCTCGGAAATATTTCAAATTTTATATGACTGAAAATGAAATATTTTTCAAGCTGTAAATAAAATAGGAGGAAAACAGGGTAAATTACACTCAAGAATTTTCGCAGTGATCCACTAAAATCGAAAATTACATGAACGAAACTTCAAATCCACCGAAATCGATGACGAAAAAGTTCGCACAGCTATAAAATAACTATTGGAGGCGCTCCGTGATTCAGAAATAAATTATTCCACGAAATATGGCAACGGAAAATCATCAAAATTGAATTACAGTATAGACAATGAAAGAATGAAGTCTCCAGGTTTATACAGACTAAAAATGCGTTTCTTTCTCACCCAATTCTGTCTGAAAAGTCGGAGTGAGATGCAAGGGAATCGGAAGAATCAACTGCGTCTCTTCGATATTCAAACAATATTGGTGGTATTTATTGTGAGATACGACGGTCGGCGTCTGGTCAGGTCTTCGTCGAAACTCTTCAGCCACCGTTTCCAGGTTTTGCAGCGTAACCAAGAACTGCAAAATCACATAGAACATCAATCATACACAGACACAACAATTTCAGGACATAACAAAAAGGAGTCACAAACCTTGACACATCGCACTTTGGCGTCCTTGAAGCTAAATGTGCCAACAATGTCTTCTCCGAGTCTGTAGCCGGTTTTGTAGAGGAAAAATGTCCCTACTTTTCCATGAAAATGGGTCACATTGTACGCAGTTGCAGCTTTTCTCGCAGTCACACTCTTGAAATAGAACAAAACATAGATTATAAGACTCAAGAATAAGAAAGGGGAACCGAATTTCCGTACTTTCCGACACAAAATTGTGCCTATCTAATATGAATTCAACTCCTATTCGATCCTTTCTCATAGATGAATTTTCAACACACTTCTCAGTTCAAAAAGGCGCGAGAGCAGAAAATGATCCAAACAATTTGATAATTTCTTCAACTGCCTTTTTCCACTTAAAAAATCTGCGCGCAGAAATCAAACACCTCTTAGCCAGGAGAAAATAATCTTCACCTGCAAAAATTCCATGGCAACATCAACACTGGAATCCTTCGAAGCTGACAACAAAAACGGATTGGAAGGCGACACCGTGTCACTGCCTTGATTTCCATTGATATTCGGGTGATTCCTTCCGGCCAAAGGAGCGGGTAAACAGGGAAAACCGTGAATCACAAGCACTTTCAATGGCAACTGCATGATCTTGATGGATGAGCCAACTCTTTGGGTCCCTACTGCCACTTTGTACCAATATCTCACAGCCTGTCCTCTGTAGGAAGGTGGGATCCCTTTTGGCAACGTTTCCTTATAGAAAACTGCAGGAAGAAATTCAGCAGGTCAACACCTCAATCAATCAAACTGTTTTTTTCAGTGAAAACAAAATATTTTAAAAATTAATGATGTGTCTATATCTTCTTGAAAGATATTCTGTTCTGATGTAAATGCAGCATCAACAGATTTTAAAAGCAAAACTTCTCAAAACACCAATAATTTCTTCAGTATGACACTGAGGATTATTGTGGGGATTATCAGCAAGATGATTTCCAGAGGCCAAAAATGGTTAGATTTTAAACTGATTAAAAAACACATTAAAATAAAAGAGACATCTGAATGCTGAGGCATTTACCCAGCCTCAAAGGGATTTTGATTTAAAATAAAAATCTAGATTTATGGCTGCAAGAATAAAGAGATCTAGAGCTATCTCACTCCTTGGATATTCAACAAGGACTATTATTTGCTTTCATCACAGGTATAAAAATTAACTTAAATTGAAGTTAAAGATGTACTAACTATTCTATACTCATATAAAAATTGATCCAACTGATGGATCTTGAGATATTGCACTTTACTGAACCCAACTTTTTCAATGGTGATAAGAATCTGAGAAACCTTCCCCCAAGATTCTAATCTCACTGGTGTACACACACGCTTCTAGTGCAAATAATGATTTCAAAAAGCACAGTTCCTATATGCATCAATGAAATTAATTCTGCAACAGGTAATCATGTAAATAATTCAAAGTACATTATTTATTTAAGTACAATGCACACCTTTTTCAATACTGTACTGAGAAAAAAAAAACAGAAGGATGCACTTCATGGACGGGTGAAAACGTTTTATAAAAATTTAGCTTGGCATCATACCTAATTCTACTTGGAAATTCCAGAAAGCTTGTAGGAAAGGTTCCAAACATTTTTCCAAACTTAGTTCTTGGGAAATGCACTGCAAGAAAACTTACAAGTCTTGGACTCCCCAGGGTCGAGACATAAATCACAGAACAAAATCTGTGGTTGAGTCGCAAAAACGCTTTTCCCTGGGTCGGCTTTGGCAGGCATGAACGAGGTAACTGAAATAACACAAAAATATCGCCGTTTTCCTCTTTTCCAAGCAAGAATGCCTTCCTTTCCTCGTCCAATTGAACTCACAAGCGCTTCCTGGGGCCAAGGAACTGGAGCTCGTAGATTTCGGCAGCCCATGTCCACTGTCACCGCCATCAGAAGCATTCAGATTGACAAACTGGTCAACCCCAGAAACCCAGCAGTGAATTTGCACACTTGACCACGCCAAGACTTCTCTGATTCTGGACACATAATGAGAAAATAAATTTCAGAAAAAATCCTGACAAGAACAGGTGACCAATTTTTCAAACTCTAACTAACCCAGTACCAGAAACAGCTGCAATTTTCGTGAAAGTGATTTCACATTCCACGGTTTCTCCAGCGAGGTAAATCGACCCGGTCACTAATTTCGCTGCCACTTCAATCATGATTTTTTCATAAATTTATAACTCGCAGCGTCACGAAATCATTCCTGCAATTGATCAAAAAGCCACCTTTTTTGAGCCCTCACTATTAAAACACTGGGGTTTCAACATTAAGTACAGCGATTGTGATTCTTTTCTTTGGTTTCACGTTTTCCCACTTGACAGTCCATTGAACACCACACTGCACCAAATTTCCAAAACAAAACAAAAAAAATATCCCAGAGGCAAATGCACTTTTGGAAGCGGGGAATAAAACCACAGCTTATGAACACAGTAAAATGCCACAGTGAGTCATACGACAAAGACATTTAACGATGTCTTACAGCTTACAGCAAAAAATAAAATACAAATACCGTACATTGAAACTTACGGAAATGGCAGCAAATCGGGCCTTGGATATTCCTCCCGTTCCACAACCCCGTGACCAAACTTGTACTCCAAAAATTGAGAAATATCCGACGGAACGTTCACGTCAATACCTGCGAACCAAATCTTTCGTAGCTGCTTGATGAATTTCTCGGGGAATTCGCAGTCTTGACGGTGATTTTTGAACCAGGTGCTCTTGGTCATGTATCCAAGGCCATTGACAGTAAATGGAAACAAGTCCACATGCAGTCGGTTGATGACACTGAAACAAGGGGAAATTCATCGACAATATAGTTCACAATGTATAAAATTTCAACATTACCGACAATAAAAAAACTTACTAAAAAAAAATGCAGTGATGAGAACACGTTTTTTGAAGACACTTTTTTTTTTTAATGTTCTGGGCTTTCTATTTACTCAGTTAGTAGAAATAGACATCCTCCCTAGGTCAAATTTCCTCAGAAACAATCCATTAAAAACCTGCCAACTCCAAGGATCCCCCCCTCTCAAAACTCTCGAAGTCGAATTTTCTGGAGGCCTTCTTGTTGAGAAATTATTTATTTATAAGCAATAAAAATGATACTTCACGTGTTTTGCGAGGAAGTGAAAGACTTATTTGACAAATGAACCCTTACCTCCAAGTTTAGCATTCGTCAACTCATTTTAGAAGCAACTTGCGGCCCAGAAAATCACCAATTACATTTCCCGTAATTCTTCTTTCTTTTCTCCAACAAAAAATACTCGTTTCCCCAAATGGAAACTCGAATTTCTTTTTTCTGGTCCCCTTGAAGTTCGACTGCATTTTATCTCTCACCTGTAATGAATTCGGAAAAAGTCCCCTTCGACCGCCCTTTCCCAAAGGAAGCCCTCAGAGTCGATCACTCCAAATTTGGAATTATTCGCAGCCTGGAAGTAGGAGCAATTGAACACGTCCACTGAGTAAGCACCGATATCTATGTCGGAGTCCCACGGAATTATGTCATTATGACGAGCGGCGCCCAAAAGCGAACCGCCTTCGAGCCAATAACGAATTTTGCATTCTTCCAAAACTTGGACGACCCGCTTCAGGGTTTTCCGGAGGTTCGCCAAACAACACGACGGAGTCCATCTGCAAAGAGGAAATCAACAATATTACTTTATTTTCCTGTCATTCCACGACCAAAAAAACCTAAAATTACGGTGAAAACGACTCATTTTCATACAAACCGTAGGAAAAAGTCAGCTGAAAATCAAACACAAAAAATATCACCGTTTTCCATGTAAATACACTTTTTGTGATTTGCATATTCATTTCACTCCGTTTCCTGGAATACCAAGCAGGTGTCACCTGAATCGAGCATCTACCAAAAAACTTCCGAAATTTTCTTCTAAAAATCGCACGAAAAAAAGTTTTCCAGAGCAAGAACTGTACTTCGAACTATTGCCGAAAGTCAAGAAGGACGGAAAAAATGTTTGCATTACTCTTTAAAAATAGAGTAACTCAAAAGTTCGCTAAAAATAACTTCCCGCAAGGTAGAGTAAATCCAGAGTAAATCGTCCACTTCAGAAAATAAACGGTACAGTACTACATAATACTCCGGGCTCAATTTGCTACAAGATTGTGTCAACAAAAACAAGCCTTAAACCAGATTGGAAGTGCAAAAAGCACTTATGAATATTCATTCTCGTATCCTCTAAGCGCTTTGGAAATATTCTTGATGAAATTCCCTGTTTTTTTTTCAGCGCGTATGATTTCAAAACGCTTCAAAATGTCACCTTTTGCGAAACAGATAATCCGGACTATCATCTACGATGGTCGGAAAGCATCTCTGCGTATCTTTGCTACATTCGCCATACGAAGTGTAATCCCCGTCCTCCATATCGCGATAAATCCGCTTCAAACCCAGCTTCTTGAACAGGACACTCCGCAACTCCCTCTCGTAGCTACTTCTCGTGTCATCTGCGAAAAAGAAACTTCCAACATTCTCAATAGTAAAACCCCAACAAAGAGAGATGAACACGAAAATTAAAGAAAAAATTTCTTGACAAAAAGGCTCTCTATTTAATTTTAAACTCACCGGTAGTTTTTATGCCATCGACGCTAACGTAGGCGAGACCTCGATTGACCTCGCTCATGTCCATTCTCCATCGGTAAAAGAAGTTGGTGCTCAAAGGTGCGGAATATTCTGGGTCTCGTTGTCGCAGAAATTCCATGTCGCGCCAGGACACGAACATGACCATTTCTCCGCGAACCCCGTCCACGATGGGTTCTGAACAATCCACGGTCTTCTCCACTGCCTTCCACAACTTCGTTTCCATCTCTATCTGAAATTTTGATTCAATTTATGAGTTTCTGAGAAACATGGGGTTTCATTATGCGACCGCAACGCGCGTTTATTTTCCCTTTACAACTTAACTACTGCACATGGAAAGTCACGACAGATTTGTTCTGTAGTAGGAATGACCGATATACAATAATTAAGTTTAACTAAATTGATTCACCTGATGTAGAACAGCCAAATTTAGACTTCATAAAATGTAACGACAGGATACATAGGGCGACACCTATGTCACAACAAAGGAAAAAGCGGAGTTCGCGAAATTTCAATCTCGAGTCGCAAAAAAGTTGCAGTACATCCTTCGCAAAACGAAACCCCCTCAAGGACTACCCATCCGAAAGTTTCATTAATTTGATCAACGATGAGAAGTTAAAAATATTTTCACTAGTAAAGCGTTTCAATTTGTAAAAAATTTAAATTAAGGTCATTCAAAAGTATCAAAACTTCACGTATTTCGGTAGGTTACGCTTCATTTGATTAACACTTCCTTGCGAATCGGAAGATATTTTCAGCTGAATATGACTTTTTTAATTCGGAGAAATTTTGAGTCGGAAGAGTTTTTGTCCGATTCACGGAAATAATTTGAGAAACGTCCATAAAAATCTCTACCTTCCTGGAATATTAATATACTGTATTAGAATACATATTAATATTTTAGGACCATTTTTCCCATATGATTGAAAGAAAAAAATCCTTTCGAAACAATTTCCGATGCGTCGAATATGGTCGGAAAAACTTAACGATTTTAATATTGGGTGCACATGATCTAACGGTTTGAATGGGAGGAATAATTAGGACTACGTGGCAAAATGTCAAGTAGGCTTGAAAAAATCCTGGTCGTTGAAAATGTATCGTAAATCATAATTGCTGAATTAAATTTCAACGTGAAATCAAAAAATATAAAAAATTAGCAAATACCGAAACAGCAAGCAAGAATATTCAGATACTGTACTGTATATCAACAGTTTAATTCGACCGAGACTGAGAATACTTCATAACAAATTCCTAATTATATTCTCGCATATATGAAGGTTGGTACACATAATTTCTGAACTCTCTTAAAAAAAACCCCATTTCTGATGCTCGACGAGATTTGAACTCCATCAAAGTGCGTAACCTTCTCAGCTTCTCAATAAAAAACAAATGAAAATATAACTCACGCGAAAGCATTCAGACAAATTCTTGGCCCCAAAGACCACCTTCGAGGCCTCAATCTTCAAATCCTTCGCTTCAGTCACCACGTCTCGAACGAACCTCACGACACCGGGATCAGCACAAGCACTCACAACAACGAACAATCCCACCGGGAACACGAATCCACCGAGAAGCTGCCACTTCCGCTGCTCCCCGAGATACTCAGCTCCAGTTTCCATGAGTACCTCCACACCCGGGATTTCCGGGTACGGGATCATGTGCGACACCACAAACGGGCGCGTCAAATCCGACAAAAGCGCTGCGTTTTCGCGGATTCTTGGCGAGTGTCGCGGACAGCCTCGGGCGTCCATTAACACATGAATGGATGAGCCAATTGGACGGAATTTCCACCAAAGAGCCATCGCGAGGATGACCACAGCATATTTCAACCAAGCCATTTTTCTTATCAATGACAAAGCGTCCAAATTATGAGGAACTCAATGACACGATGTTCCATTTATCACAAACGCCTTTACAGGAATCATAGATTTCCCAATGAAAAAAACCTGAAACAGATGAAACGTCAATCAATACGAATACAGTACAGCACAAGAAACTCATGGAGTAAAATTTGAAAATAATTCACATTACCGAAAATACAAGAACAGTAGCAAACATGCTGATTCAAGTCCTCAAAAAGTGCAGTATTTCACGTAGCGCAAAAAAATTTCAGACCTTCCGAATTAAATTTTTTCACGAACGAATCATAAAAAATCTCCGCATCGAACCTTTCCAGGAGATCATTTCATACATCAATAATTGAGTGTCAGGGTGGATTTCAAGAACTTCTCCCTAATTTTCGGAATACTTCGACTCAAATTCTTATAAGCGACAGTTTCAAATATTAAAAGGAACATCGTACACCAACGACGATGGGACTTTAATGAGACACAGGAAAAAATACTGCAGTTTCCTTCAAACAGAATTACGCAGATTTTAAGCATCCATTCGAAGCGGCTTGTAACTTTTTCCACAGATCCTCATGTCAAAACACACAGTCTTATAATTAAATGCCCTTTTAATCATGTGAATGATTTATTAAAATAGGACTCTCTTGCATGAGCGTTTTCTTTGCCTGGTCATTTTCAGCAAAAATGAGCCCTCAGAATATTTTGATGAGTCTATATCCAAGAGATCCCAAAAATGCATACAGAAGATATTTAAATAAAGAGTTTTGAAACTTGCTCTTTCAAACCCTTCTCTGTATTGAATCTTTAGAAGATTCCCAATCGAAAGCACTGAGACGAATTCTTGGCCCCAAACATGAAAAAAATCCAACTTAGATTGTAAAATTCGATTTTGTCAAGGTATGAGACATACACGGAAAGCTGCAGTCCTGAATTTTCTGATCAACAATTAGCGCACGATATGTGTAATTTCCTTACACGAACATTGACAGAGAACTTCCTTTGAAAGCAGAGAAGCATCGAACACAAAATTACCCGCTCTTGATGGGGAAATCACGTGACTTTGTGTGAATTCCTCGAACGGAAAATGCCTCTCATCAAACATAATTCAGCGAAACATCACTTTGACGTAGTTTTCCGAGGCTGCAGAAAACGGGATCTTTCCCGCGATTTTTAAAAAGGTATACAAAAAAGTTTAAAAAAAAGACACCCGTATTTTGCAGAAGATCGCCAGACACAAAAAATCACTAGGTCAATTGAACAATGCGATACGTAACTTCCACGTTGTCCTCGTCACCAACGTTCGACACCAGCACATTAGAATGAACGAACCCATTCTCAAACCCAGTAGAGATGACGTGGTCCTTTTCGACATCCGCGCGCCAATCCAACACTTGGAAATCGTCGCATTTTTCTCCTGATTTCGCACTGTCATTCGACACTCGCGTCACCACTTTCGGGGCTGTCGAAAATGGTTGCCCAGCGTTTTGAGTTTGCAGTCCATGGAGCATGACTTCGTGTTTGAAACGGGTTTGCGGGCTGTCGAATCGCTGTCGACACATTCCGCATTCCAGGTCGTCGTTATTGAAGATATTATGGGACTCTGGAACAAATGAGTCAATTTGAAAAATTCCGAAAATGAACGAAACGTCATTCAATGGGTTTCTCAGATGCGCGAGAATGGTAAAAACAAAAATACTGCATGTTGCTTTCTTTCAAGAGCTTCAAAAATACAGTAGAATACAGTGAATTTATTTTCTGGGGAAAATATTTGACCTAAATGATGTGACTTCTTTCATCTGGAAAAAATAATAATAATCAAACAGAACTGCTAACCCACATGATTTCCAAAGGATTTCGAGAAGTACGGAATAGGCAGGGAATCGACTCAGACAGATTCGAGTTATCGAGATTCAACTCTGAATGCTTTCGTATGCGAAACATAATTGCAAAATGGTGTAAAAAGTCGTTGAACTTTAGTATGGAAAAATAATTTTAAAACATTAAAATATAACAGACTCCATCAAATTTTGTCGCGGAATTCACTTGTTCATCTTCAAGTCAAAGCTATTTTCCCTTTCCTATTAAAGAGAGAACGCAAGGGTTAGCTCTGAAGTTCATCTCTGCTCCCGAAATTACAGATTGAGACCCTCGCACTACTGATCTTTCAATTAATTGATCTATTTAACGCATCAAAAGCGTTTCCAACAATCAATCTTAAGGACAATACTGGAACAAACGAATTAACACTCACCCAACCGATGCTTAGTCACGTATTCTTTGCCTTTGAACCCCAAGGAACAAAAGCTGCAACGGAAACAGTGCATGTTATACGTGAAGTCGTCTGGCCCAATGATGAAGTCAGTCTTGTGTTTCCTGTTACGATGCACTCGATATTCCTTGTAGTCGTAGAATTTCTTCAGACACTGATGACAACTGAACACTTTACCACATTCATCCTTTTCTGGCACATGCGTATCTACCGAGATTACTTTCAAAGAAACTTTCTTGACACCGTTTTCCATCGTTTCCTCAATCCACTGCGACTGAATAGAAACCAAAATCAATTTAAATAAACCACGAACAAAAATCAGAAAATTAATTCGTTTGCGACTTCGCAGGAGATTACATATAAAAATCATATAACTTGACCGAGATGAAGGTTTCCTTATTAGTTGAGACAGAGTTTTCTCCATGAAACTATCTAACGCAAATAAAGAGAAAACGGGCACAAAAAGAACAGCATTGAAGCAAGGAGTTTCAAAAGTACAGGGTAGGTTACTAAAACTGTAGATTGAAGCTATATTGTACATGTTATCCTTCAATGCACATGATCGTGCGCAAAATTTTCTTTGCCTCTTCTTGATACAGTAATTATAACAGTAAAATCAGGTTACTGCGCAACTAACTCGGAATGACGCCAGAAAAGGTTTGTTCTCCAGGAAAATTCGTTACAACGACATTTTAAAAAACTACGACTTGGAAAAACGCTCCAATTACGCTTGCGTACATGTATTTTGTGACCTTTCTCGTTAGATACCGATTATTTCACGCAATAGCTCTTTTATCCGTTTTTGGATTTATTCGTTCAATGCATTTTTTCTTAATTGATTCTTGAATCTTGCTCGAATTCCTATTTGCTCTCTCACGTGCTCGTTTAATCGATTATTTCTTGATCGAAAACTCGAATTGTTTCACCTTCAAATGCATAACTAAAGTAGATTCGTGTAATTATAATCACACATAACTCAATACTCAATCCCACCCTTCGATTCATCACTCGGAAAAAACGATCACTACCTTTTTTGCGCGCGTCAAAAAAAGATCACCGAACCCCGCAACATATAAAAAGCGCGCATGATAACTTCTATGCACATATTCACTCATTTTTCGGTTTCTGAAAAACAGTATAAAAAAAACACATATAAGAGTGAATGGAAAACTGCCGACACAGAATTTGATAAATAAATGGTCATGGAGCCGTGATTACAAATCTTGGTAATTTATTCGTCCATAACGCAAAGGGCAAAAGTTTTAAAAAAAGTCGTTTTTGTTTTTCGTGCGAGTCGAACGTCGGAAGTCTGGCTTCTTGAACTACAGGAAATAATCCGCGTGCGGCTTTTTCTGCGGCGCACCGCGAATTTCTTGAGGGGCAGCGTCGAAAATCGTGAAGTCACGTTGCAAATTTTCGTCAAGTTCCAGAATAGCTGCCACATTTCCACATCTGTCCAATAAATGAGAATAAAACTCATGAATGTAACAATACGACCCCTTTCAATTCCAAGAATAATTTTACTGTAATTCAAATAAAAATAAAATAAAAGTCGCACAGTCGTACTTTGTAACATTCGTCACGATCTCCAAGAGGATACTGTAAATCGTACAAAATGGGCAAGATAATTCACGAGTTTTCGAATGAAGAACAGCAAAAACAGGGCATACTAAAATTATTTTTCACGGAGAGTGGAAATTGTTGGCAATTTTATAAAAACCATATCACTTGAAAAAATAAAACAAATAAAATGCGCCAAACTTACTCAATTGATATTTAAAAAGTATATTTAACATTTTGTTTTTGCATTTAAGTCAGATCATGCTTCAAACTGATCCTGAGAAGCAGAAGTATGGGCAATCAACATTCGAGATATTCATTACTGAAGGGCCGATCACTATAGTACAGTATCACTTCGCGAGGAATTCTAATCGATATCGCATCACTCTCCCGAACTGAAAAAAGCAAGATGGCTACTAAGGCGCACTGAAATTTTCTCCATTGACTGGTTGAACCAAAAAACAAAGCAGAGATGAATTACAATAATCCGTAATTGATGCTAATCTTATTTCAGCCAAACTACTCCCGTAACTTATTTCAAAACAACCATTTCCCTTATAGTACTTTGAATCGGCACTTTTCTGCGGTCACTTCAATGCATGTTCCAAATGTATCCATAGTGCTAATACAGTACTTGAAAACGTTGATGAGACATCGATGAACTAAGTTTAAGAAAATGTTTGAAGATACAGAATACTGTACAATTTTGAAATGCCATTGCAGAGCAATACTTTTCAAAGATTAAAAAATATTTAGTCTGCAAATCGGGAAGATCGAATACAGTACAATGTTAAAACAGCACAATCATTGAAATAACGAATAATTGTTCATAATAAATAATATTTTGTTATTTTGATACGCAATAGCATTGTGGCTTCACTTCAAATGCCTAGGAACATTTCTAAGCCAAAAAATCCTTATAGCGAGATTTTCCCACATACACAATTTCATAAAATGGAAAATGGCCAACCTGTAACAGTAGTTAGGCGCAGACCAAACAGTAAGCACAGTTTCGTTGAAATGCCACTTGTAACCTTCCATAACGAGTTGATGGGCACGACAGATCAGATCAATTTCATTCGTCGCATTGAACATTGCTACAACGTCTGATCCGAACAAGAAACCGGCTCCACGTGGACTAACACCCCAACCATTTGTGTCTTCTGGGTCCGACCAAAGAAGATCACACATCGGCCCATCGTGAGGGACCTCTTGTTTCCTGTCTATTGTTCTGATCTGATCTAGAGTTTGTATCGAAGGAGACAATCCCCCGTGGACGCAAAATATCTGCACGACGCAGTAAAATTAATACCAATTGACACTTGACAAAAATACCATGTCTAACTTACCCTCCCATCAATGATGGCAGCGAGGCTAAGGTAGTCGAAAATTTCTGTGCAATACCGCCATACCAAGACGGAACCGTACTTTCTAATGCATTCGTCGTAAAACCCGTAGACTTGAGTGATTTGCCGGGACTCGTGGTTTCCGCGAATTAATGTAATTCTATCGGGATATCGCACTTTTAAAGCAAGGAGCAGCAGAAACGTCTCAACGCTATAGAAGCCTCGGTCGACGAAGTCACCGAGGAATAAGTAGCTGGTTTCCGGGACGTCTCCACCTACTTTGAAGAGTTCCTTCAAGTCATAAAACTGGCCGTGAATGTCACCGCACACCTGGAAGCAGAACTCGCCTTAACAATATTTTCCGAGATTAGAACATCTGAAGCTCGAACTCACCGTGACGGGAGAATCAACCCGCTGGACATTAGATTCTTCCACGAGAATTTCCCTCGCGCGGGCACACAGAGATTTCACTTCTGCTTCCGTGATAAGTTCGCAATTTCGAAGCTTTTCTATCTGACCATCCAGATCTGACTTCGATAGCGCACCCATCTTTGCACACTCTTTCAACGAAAGGATGAATTCATTACGAATACAATAAAAAACGGTATGAAGTAGATGCAGACACAGCACACACCGTAAACCCAAAACTGATGCATTGAAGTCTCGTTCTGATTAGAAAAGGCAACAAGCAACTATTTAGCACATGCGTAGCACATCACAAAAAGAAACCCGTAATCAGCAATTGAAACTCAATCGAGATCGTCCACAAATTCAGCTCATCGAAAGCCGGCAATCAGAAGCAAGCGCACTCAGCCGCGCGAACGTCGTACGAGATTCGCAGACATACCGCTAAGCCCGCGGCCATGTTAACGTCGAATGATTAGCTCTACATACCGAAGTCGCATTTTGGAGGCCAATCAGTTTTACACAACTCAAATATTTTGGCATTTGTATTTTGGTATCATCATATGCCGCAAAATAGTTACATTTTCCGAATCCATGAGAACAGAACATAATATTAAAGCAATAAAGCTGAAGCCTGAGACTGAGCGAGTGGGCTGTCGAATGGAATTATTCCGAATCAGAGGTAGGAGTGACATCTAGCTTACAGAAGAAGTACACCGGACGCGTTTGACAGGACATTAACAGTTAAAGATCCCAAATTTAATCCGAATAAAACTTCTCAAGAATCGTCTTTAGGATTTGGGCATGCAGTACTGTACGTTAATCTTCATCTCTCCACATGCGCTAAGATGACGCACCACAATCACTCATGTGTAGGCTGGGAGCAGCTGTTTAGTTTGTATGCATTTTGATTCAGGGCATACATTACCTTGGAAGAGTGGGAAGACCCCAAAAAATGCGTGTCAGAGTAACATTTTCTTGTACTGTACATGAAGAGCTAATTATTCAGAAGCATTTCTGAAAACTAATACAAGTTTTACAACCAAACGTTTAATATTTCAGGCTGATGCCCCTCGAACAACCACAGCATGTCCTGACAAATTGTCTGCGTATCACTTATGAAGAAAACAACAGAAGAAATCAAACGTTTTTCTACAATCCTTGACACACTCGGATCGTAAACACCAGTGTACCACTTATGTAGGAAGATTTCCACTGATTACAAATGGCATTTGAAAGTAACATTCACGGATTGTCTCCTAAAAGCCACGTTCTTTAATCCGATACATGGATGATGATGAACACGAAAACCGTACCGATCATTTTGTATACTATCCCTGCAAATTGGTCGACATGAAATGAATCAAATCCGCCAGAATATGAAAATTGAGCATTTATCCCGATAGAAGCATCTGCAACACTCACGAACACACCATGAAACACGCAGAAGGTTGAGCTTACAGTACAAAGATCAACCTAAGTTTTCAACGTGGCGAATAAATCCACAAGCCGAAATACATTCAAAAAATTGAAATCCCCATAAATGCCTCTTGAATAGCCGCACTCGAAAGTGCACTGGTAACAGAAAACTGCCTCAAACATTTTCACAGGTCTCAGTTGCCTTCATTGACCGTCGATCTCTTTGCACGATCAAGGAATCCCGTATTTGGCAAGAATTGGAAAATACACTGGCCTTCTTTTTCTCCGCCTCCCATGCCGAGAGATCACAATAAAGCAAGGGAATATTTTGTTGAACAATGCGAAGAAAGCTTTTGAACACGGAAGCGTCAGAACACTCATAGGTCAGACAATCAACTGACTTTCGAAGGCTCAAATAATCGTCGGCCCTTTTTGATCAGAGCACCGAAAAACAAAAAAATCCCGAACATCTAGACAAGCCTTTTTACAGCAATTTTTCTCAATATTTGAAAGCTGAATTCTGCGATTTTCTCCAGCTTCTATTCTTGATTCAATTTTTTAAAAATCTCAAATACACGAAAAAAAAGTCATGAATTTAGCAGCCAAGCTACCCACAGTTAAATTTGCGAACGCAAGACATCGTCGTCGATCTCAAAGCTTATTCTTCCTGCCTTCGTAACTTCAAATTATCAACAACAAAAAAGCCACCGGAATTTCCAGCAAAATTTACAACCAATGACCTCCTTCAACCTCTTGCACTTTCTCACGGTAATAGCGTCCGAATTTCAATAAAAGCCAGTTTCCTTCAAATTGTTTCGCACGATGACGTCAGTGACGGCACTGAAAACGAATTCCATGTTCGAGGTGTCCGTTGCACAAGTGAAATGAGTATAAACTTTGTCGTCGGAGCGACGATTCAGCGCCAAAAACTTTCGTTCGATGAACGCGGATGCTTCGTCATACTTATTTTTACCTGCAAAAATAAAGCCACGAGATTTACACACGCAGGGAACACAGAAAAAGCTAAAAATTGGCGAAAAAGTCCTTTATCCTTCGGAAATTCTTTCGCAGATATTTTGGCTCAAGCATTAATCCCATTTTCTTGCTCATACTGTTTTGAAAATGAAAGATTTTTCAACAAGCGTCAATTACGCAAAAATGGCGACTTGAATATGTAAACCAGCCCAATATTAGAATATAAATCTAAAGAAAATGCGCAGAAAAAACACACGATCTCACCTTCGTAATCCGGAAAACAAACGGACAAGGGAGAAACTTGGATCTTTTGTTCGAAAATGTCCTTCTTGTTCAGAAAAAGGATCATAGAAGATTCGCCAAACATTCGGTGATTGCATATTTCTTCGAACAGCTTCAGCGCTTCCACCATGCGGTTGGTTTCTTCATCCTCCATCAATTTCTGATCGTACCCTAAAAATTCACCACAGCTATCATCAAAAATCAATAACCTTCAGAAAACGAAAAAATCACGTGCTTCTTCCACATTAGACACGAGTCAGGAAGGAAGAGTGAGCTTACCGGACAAAGCAACGCAAAAAATAACTGCAGTGACTCCTTGAAAGCACATAATCCACTTTTTGCGCTCCGAACGCTGTCCTCCGACATCCACCATCCTTTCAAATATAACACCAATACAATCGTAACAATGGTAACAATCACTGAATTTGGATTCACTCACTGGAAAGTTAATTTCTTGTACGTGAAGTTTGTTTCAACAATGCCTTCTGTTCGAAGACGCGTGCGAAGCACATCCTGTACAGTGGGAACGTACTCTTCGTCAAAAATTATTTCGGCTTTATCCAGAAAATATTTGGCGGAGTCGTTCAACTAAAGCAGGAAACACGAATCAAGTTTTGTAAAAATCACGAAAAGGAAATTCTGATTTATATCACCCACGTGGTATTCATTCGATCGTCTGTAACAGGTTTGCACACCAGCGTCAGCCCAGAAATCACTCAATGACTTTTGAATGATCAACGACGCCGTTCTTTCCATAGAAAAATACGACGATACATTCTTCATGTGTTCCTGTGAAGGCAAGAGAAACACGAATTCTGAATTTGAAAAAGAAATGACTGAATTGAGAGCTGGAAAATTTAGAGAACCTAGAAATGCAGACAAGAACGACCATCAAGGGAATTTTTCGTTGTTAGTTCAACATACGTCTGCCTCAATTTTATGAACAGACCGAGATGACAAAAATATTCTCGGTCTACAATCGGCATTCCGACTCAACGAATAAAATTGCGTCGGACAAGTACTGTATGTTCGGAAGCTATTTCGGATCGTAGCCTGTGATTTCAAGGCCAAGTCAGAAAACTTTCAAAAATCTCTTTGTTTATGCCTTCCTCTTTTTCGAGAACACAAAAAGGAGAAATGATGAAAAGCTTTTGGAAATGTTGGTCCACGCATTTCTTCGAATCGAAATTCCTCAAATATAAAGAAAAAGAAACTCGAATTTGATATCGCAGAAATCCTCGACATGATTTTTCGTTTGAGCGCGGTAGATTTTTCCTCCTTCTTATTTCATTCAATTTCGATTGTTTAAATACTTTAAAATACATATTTAAAGTTTCTGGAAGTTCGGAGATGACAAAGCCAGATTTCAGTTGATTGGATTGGAAAGCACCGCAATAGCAAACTGATGGGTGACTGAAATCTTCGTGAGATTTTCAACGGAAATTCCCCCGAAAAAGCAAACACTCCATAGATTCAAATCACCGAACTCAGGGAACAGAAAATTCGGACGTTCACCATCCGAAGGAGAAATTCTGAAGATAAATTTTGATTTTGGCATGCGGCAATTTTCGTGATCCTTTCAAGCACCGGGAAAATTTTCAAAATGTAATTCGAACATATCAGTCCTGCCAATCAGCTCGTTGTTGAAAAATTCCGAAGAAGCACTTGGTGAATATTATTTTTCGTTCTCGTCTCAATCGCATGATTACAGTTCTCTATTTCTGTTTTCGACTAGGAGAAATCCAAGGTACGTCTCAAAATTGCGTACCAAATTAAATAGGCTGAAACATCAGGATTAAATGTGTACTACGAACTCAAAAATACTTTTCCCAAGGGCTTGCATCCAGAGGAAAACAACGCGTCTAAAGCTATCAAAGCTGAGAGAGAAAAGATCGATTTTCATATAAATTTTCCAGAATGTCAAGAGATATTCTTGCATGAAAAGTATCACGTTATGGTGTTCTAGGTATGTAATTAAATTCATCAATTAAAATCTTCGCATCTTGGCCCACAATTGAGACAGGTTTCTTCATGTTGGAACGACTTGAAGTGATAAATTGATCAATACTGTACTCGAATATGCATGATTACTTCAAATGTTCAATAGCATTCGTTTTTCTTCACAATGGCGAGAAAACTTCATAGTCAGATGATGGATATGTTCGAGTAAAAATTGCTTTTCATCTTTCAGTAACGCGGATTCTTTTCAAGACAGAAGTGATTTCCGTGCGAAGACACGAAAAACCAGCAAACGCGAACTAGTGTTTTTCAGACTTGTAAATAACATAGTTCCCGGTAAAATGACCAGCCATGTTGGTTCATTGTACAGATGGGTTTTCTGTTGGGATTATAGAAATCTCATTTCATCTACATGACTGCGATATTCTATTCAAAAAGATACTGTATTTCAAACGTATTTCAGGGAGATCCCGCTTACCAACAAACTACGTTTCGCGAATGGTATCTCCAGACGTTCCATGGCGCTCATTATCACAGCCGTACTTTGAAGCGCATTTTGTCTTATGACCGGTACGTATTTCCGTCTTTCTTCCACAGAATAGCCATTGTCGTGTAAGACCTTCATCTGCTTCACGACCGTACTTTTCCCAGATTCCCCAGCACCTGATCAGACGGAACCGAAGTATAAAACTGAATTAAGATTTTGTGGAAGACTGGAAATTCTCACCTAACAAGAGAAGCTTCACCGTGTGACGAATCTGATTTTTTGCAGCTCGGATGTCTTCGTCAATTTTTTTTGATACTGCCGTTCCTCGTGTTTCCCCGGAACTACACATGAGACCCATGACTAGCACACAGCGATGTTAGATACAACTATACCTATCGGATTAGTGGCACACGAAGCCTAAACAAATACGACGATCGAATATAATGTGATAAGCCGGCATCCTAATCATACGGTACATCTAAGATGTGATGAGGCCGCAACAATCCAGAAATATTTGTGCAGCGAGTATACGCCAGAAAATTAGACGAAGAGCTAATACTATCGTGTTCACTTCCGTGAACGTGGATCATTTGCGAAATACAACACGATTATCAGACACCATACGCATTCGAAGACCGCTCGGTCGACGATGCTGAGAAATTACTACGTGGCCCTCAAGTATTCTGTGATTACGTTCGGTTAGTCACTAAAATGTTCGTGAAATAAACTCAAGAGATTTTGACAAGAAAGGACCACGCCATTTGTACCATCTCTCACGAAGCTCTTACGTTTGTCTCTAATATAGAGCCAGACACAATATATCATGGATGAATTAAAAACAAAATTCCATTTCAATAAAGGTGATGGTGGTTACGCAACAGTAAAATATTGTTTCATGAAAACAAATATTTTAGAGGTCCCATAAATTTCTCCATGGGTGAGTGGGTGTACATAAAATATTTACAAGAAATAAACATTTTTGCTGTAGTAATTACAGCAGTATTCAACATAAAAATTATGCTTTGGGCTCATCATTTCGCTGTAGAACGTACGAGGCCATTGGTACTTCATGCCTAATTTTTAGAAAAGCCGCAAATCACATTTTCATTGGACTGAAATTCCTCAAACAATAATAAATGCAAACATTTTTTAAGAAGAAAAGTTATCATTTAAGAAGTTATGCAAGAATGAAGAGTGTTTTTAGGCCATTGTCTTATTTCAAGTGTTTTTGTAGCATGATTTAAGACTTTCATAATGACTCCCTTTTTCGGAAATAAATTGTATGTTGAAAATAATGCTGTTTAATTTAGCAAAAGACATTCAGTTGTGAACTTTTAAGTTAATGTGATTTGATTGAATATATATTTTACTAATGATATTTTAATTTAATTTTGAATTTGAATTTTATAAGTTACTGATTTTAATTATTAAAACTTTAATTTTCAATATTAATTTAATTTTGATTTTCCAACATCTCTACTAGAGCTATAAAAGTTGGTTTAATGCAGGCAACTTATTGTTCCTGAAAATGTGCACCTCCTTTAGTCACAATCCATTCGAATAAATTGCTTAAAAATTTGTTTTATGTATTTCATGACGGAAGCATTTTTTAAACAAATTTTCACCTAAATTCCAGAAAGATGAATGGCTTCTATATTCTAAAAACCACGAGTCTCAATGAATCTGGAAAAGTATTATAAAAATTTTTTTAGGTCCGTAGGAGGTTGTAATTAAAATTACTCAACTGAGCCCGCAGCAAATGCTTTGCATACAGTACTTCTACCATATATATACAGCACCTGTAATAATTCATCAGTAATTTTAGGTGAGTCTTTAAATTACTTGCATGGATGAACATAATGAATTTCTCTCAGGAAGCCAAATTGCTAATAATAAATGGGCCACACCAGTGATTTTTGAGGAGGATATATTCTGCAATATGAATTTATAATGAATAATTTTACATGGAGGAACAATTGTGGATCAAAGAAAATTTGATCATCCAAAGATGGAATTCGCACTCCAAAATTGCACAAATCTCTCTCTCTCTCTCTCTCTCTTTTGAATTGGGTTCTATATATTGCGCAATTTTTGATTCTCTCTGGCATGAGAAAACAACAATAAAGAGCTTTAAGGTGGTGGTCAGCAGCAGCAGGAACAGCTGCAATATAATAAATAAAACGCACACATGCCCTCAAGCGGTTATATTTATATATATATATATTTTAGCCTTTTTCTTGGGTGTTCTAGTTCGAATCTCAAGGTCGAGTGGGTACATTTTTTCCCAGGCTTTTCTCCTCCTCGTTCGAAAAATTCGGTGGAAAAGGAAAAAAGAGGACAAATGATTGCCCAAAAAAAAAAAAAAAACTCTGCTCCTGGCCTTCATCCACTTTTCCCCAAATTCTTGGATTTATCTCCTGTTGTAAACGAATTGTCACGCTTGAATGCATTTCCTCCCCCTTTTTTTGAGAAGCACTATTTTTGGGGGCCAGACTTTTCCCATTTATTTTATTATTTTTTTTGTTGTAGAAACCATCACACACCCCAGTGGTGTCTTCCTCATAATCCCCAATATATATTTTCTTGTTTATATAGAATGCCATGGCCTCAAGGCAAGCTTTTTTAAAATGCATCATGTGCAGGAGGAGGAATGGGAAAGTGTGTGGTTGGATGAGGATTATGCAACCTTCACCAGGAAACACAGCAAGGAAGCTCCAGAGCTGATGAACTCTGACACCCACCTTGAACTGCAAACCCAAACCCCCATAGCCCAGTGGTTGTGATTAAGTTGATTGTTCCTGCTGGCCAGCACTCAGCATGGGGTAACAAACAACCTCCTCTGAGGCTCCCTCATAAATAAGATAAAGTCATAAAAACCATCCCAGCATTTATTTCAAAAGAAATGCTAAACACATCAGCAGGGCTGGAAATATAAACCATCTTAAAATGTGTTCCTGGGAATATTCAATAGTGTCAAAAAAATTAATTCAGATGAGGTCAGGTTAAGACTTTGAAAATTAAAATATTAAATTGGATAAAAGAGGAGAAACTTCAAATATTTTCCCCATTGATATAAATAATGTATAGCATTTACAATTTATTAAACCTCTGCTTAGTGTGAAAGGTGTCTATAGGAGCTGCAAAATATTCATGATAAAAATGGGAAAACATGGTCTGTATATAATACACAGTTTGTTACTGTCTTAATGATATATAAAAATTACTGTATTACAGTTATACAGTACATATACAGCCCTCTTTGTAATTATCTGCATCATCAAATCAAACTAATTTAATCCCATTATTTCATTATACAGTATATAGAAATATAGACCACTTTTACACAATCTAAATTAATAGAGGACCCATATATATATTATACCAAGGAAAAGTGGATTTTTCCCATTTATAATGCATCAGGTCTGAAAGTAAATTTTCAAGGCTTTAAACCCCTCTATTTTTTAAATTTTGTCTGTCCAAGGAATTGGTATAATTCTTAAAATCCTGTAGCTCAAAAAGGACCCAGAAAAGATGTTGTACTACATTTTCATTTATTTTCATTTGATTAATGATCTGAAGTCTTTGAATTGAAAGCCACTAATTTTAATGATCAGCAGTGTGCAGGTGATGCTACTGAAAAAGAAAAGGATCTCTTCACACATTTTGTCCAAAGTTTAGCATTGATAATTTTTGCAATGATTTGAACTGCATCTGCATTAAATGATCTCATTTTTTTTATCAATTGAGGTCAACATGCTTTTTGTCAGATTTTGGTCCCAACTTTAATGCAGTATATTGAGAATTTGTATCATTTATACTGTAGTATAATTGGTTTTCTGCATTGATTAACCTCTTATTTTTTTTGTGTGTGAGGTCAACATGAATTCATGGTGATTTTGTTTCAAAGTAAAGTGTATTAAGAATTTGTATCAAAATATAATGCTTATTTCAAATAAGGTCTGGACTTTCTGAATTAAAATAAACTCTCCAGTTATATCTCTTATTGGTATTGCTGTGCTGAATTGGGTGAAGAAGTTGTGGATGTTTTTGCAGAATGATTTTCTGATTACCTGTTGGTTGTCAGCCACTCCCCACCACGTATACACAGACTCCCCTGGGGGCAGTTTGGAACCCACGTGTGGGTACTTGGCTTCGCTGACCTGACGCAAGGTCACTCAATGGGTGTGTGGGGAGGAGGAGGAAGGGGGGCCATGAGTCGGCATAGGAAGGACGGGATTTTGTGCACTATATAAAGCCCTGTGGGCCAGACGTTTGAGGGAGAAGAACACCTCAACCAGTCCAAGTCACTCCTTGCATTTTGTGGTGGTTCTATCTGAGTGCTGAAGTAAAAAAAAAAAAAAAAGTTTCATTGCCCATCAGTGAGTGTTTGCTGATTATTTGTGGAATCCATTCAAGATTTTAACAAGATATCCATTGTAAAAAAAATTATTATTAGCTTTCATTTTCCTATCAATTGTTTCTTTCTTCCAGACAGTCAAGAGTATCTTATTTATTTATTTATTTATTGAGACTCATCAAATTTCACCAGATCTCCAATCATGATGAAGGTGAGTTTTTTTTCTTTCTGGGATCTTGTTTTCTTGAAATGGTATTCATTTGAGGAATTTGAATATTATTATTTTAAAGGTTGCAGTTCTTTTTGCTCTTGTGGCTGCCTGTTTGGCTGACAGCCCACCTTACCCAAGCAAGGGTTACCAACAGGAATCCTATGACCAGGTGAGCCAGATTAAAATGGGTTACTTCATTTAACTTTTTTTTAAGATTCTTCTTGTACAGTGTAATGCAAGCAGCTTGATGAAATTTAAAATATGAAATATAAAATTTTCATTTTCCCATGCAGTAAGCCAGAATTTTGAAGAACTGGATTTAATATTTTTTCCTATAGTGTTGACCAACAATTATATTTTTTGTGACCCCATGTGAGCCCAGGAGCGTGAAAAAAAAATTGAGGGGTGCATTGTTGTTGTTTGAACAAGAGACCTTATTGCATGCAAAACCAGCATGTGGATTTTGGCAAAACAAGCACTCATTTGAATATCTTATCTTTATTGCCAAAACAATATTTGCTCTTTGGGCAGGTTATCTCCAAGTCATGTGCGCGTAGAATGTTCTTAAAAGTTCTCTGTGGGGTCTCTGAAACTAAACTGCGGCGCAGAATATTATTATTATTATTATTATTATTGTATTCAATTTGAAATGGATATTGCTAATATGGAAAAATTGAATTGAAATAAAGTAGATCCCTGTGAAGTCCTGCGAAGTGGTCAGAATCTTTTAAAGTGGTAATTTATGCAATTAACTATTTATATTTTGCAAAGTTTTTCATTAACAGAGAGTTTTCATTATAAGAAAAAATAAAATGTCATTCAAAGAAGCAAAAAATTCATCCAAATTTTAAACTTCGTAAGATGGT